GGAGTTACCAGGTTTTTTGATTATACAAATGGTCTGCCAACAAGAGAATTCAAGCTTATTGTGTACACAATTCGCTCGGTTTCAAGTTGGATGATATCGCGATTTAATACACTGATTGTGTCAACGTTTGTCACTTATCTCACTTCAAATTGCCTTCAAATAACGGGTAAAATCAAACGAAAAGCTGATTGTGACTGTGCTAAGTCGATTTGTTTCTGCTGGACTGCTTTGAATTTAAAACCAGTAAACTCAACTATACAACAATGGTGACCGTAGTCGTCAGCTCGTTGAGTTATCTGAAGCATGAAATGTTGACCTTAAATAACAGATCAACAACGGATTCCGAATTATCTCATGGTGAAATCTATTTATGAGGCCGCAAGTTGTAAAATTTTCAAAGGACAGTTTGGAATGAGTGATGTATTTGGGAACTGCCTTTCCTCCATTCGGGATGTTCTATTGAGGCACTTGACTACAGGTGTTTATTTGGTGTATAACTGCGTCGTCTACGTCAACGACGAAAGTTGTCTAAATGCTTGTGGGATACACACTTTAGGGGCGGTGAACGCGATGAACGGAAGTTGAACTCTACCTATGTAGCTGACTTATCAAATACCTGTTCGTGCGGTTCAAATTGTCATTCTATTTGGGCAAATAGGATCCTCTTGGTGTATGCCAGAAATACGTGACGGTTACGGTGGTTGACATTGTTCTGTTACATTTTCATTGACTTCCAGTCTGTTTATATTTAGGGGTGGATTCTATATTTGAATACCAAATATTTTGGTACTTCCACGTACATCTGTTGAGGAGAGCTTCAGAAAAAAATTTCGAATACTCCACCATCTAATAGTATTTTAGATTTGACTCCTTCGGCATTCCTCTGGTAATTTTGACTAAAAAGAAAAATTGATACCGTTATTAGTCGTGTAATCTCATACCTGGAAGTGTTGTTCGCAGACGTGTCGTAGCCAGGCTAGGCAACATCATTAGTGTAACTTGAAGAGACAAAGAACCAATCAAAACCGTGAAACGGAACTATATAAGCCTGGTCACACTGAACACCGGCGCTTCCCCGAAGTTGCACTGGCGATTTTGCTTAGCCTGGCTACGAAACGTGTACGAACAACACTTCCGGCAAACAACATTCACATCCCGAGCTACACGCGTTCCATATTATTTCCAAAGGTTACGTCATATCCATTCAATGACTGAGAGGTGAACGCAGGCAGACAAAAGCTTGTATCAACTGCGTCGTCTATAGGCTTCTTGATCCTGGCTACGGAATTGTGTGTTACTTTTATTACACTGTGGAAATTTTCTTTAAAAGCCATGAATTTGTTGGTAATTCCATTCGTTTAATAATAACAAAGAGTTAAAGCAATTTTGGGAGTACCAAAACTCTCTCGAGAATAACACGAAGTCATGAATAACGCGCAGAGTTCCACCGTTTTTCTTTCGTTTTGTATAGGGAAACAGGGTTCCATAGCGAAGGGACCTCGTCATGGATTTAGATGTACTGCTGTTGTCCGAGATTATAACCACGTGGCAATTTATGGTACTCCAAACATGGTTGTGTTATTGTAGATTTCCCGAATCGAACTTGATTCCATTATTTTGTGCATAAAATTAGAGTTTTACATTTGAATTGCCGTTAAATTAAACCGAAAAACTCTATTTTTGATTGGAAAAGTGTTGGAAGCAAAACATTTAACTCACAGTTAAAGAATTCAGTCCAAAACCATTTATCAAAAAGGACAAACTTGCGATATACAGATACCAAGGGTTTAACTCCT